TAAGGATAAAGAGAATCCAAAACCAGACGACTTACAAAAAGAAAGGAAAAGAGACTTATCTGAGTGGAACAGCTGGTACCATTGATCATGACATGTATTTCGGACTAATCGGCCCAATTCGTCCAACCAATCAACTTTCAATTGCCATGCTTTGTTGCCCCAGAATTCCGTAACATGATTTCTTCAACCAAACCCTAACCTTGTTCATCCTGCGGTGTCCTGAACGGTTTTCACCCACATACCTCTCTCATTTGTTCATTTGAAAACTCACTTTTGCCTTAGGGTGCCCACGAGGGTTTTCACCAATAAGACTCTCTCATTTCTGTTTTCTCTCAACTCACTTTCGCCTTACGGTGCCTGTGAGGGTTTCACTAATAAGACTCTCTCATTTTCATCATTTTTCTGCTTGGACCAGAGTGTTATCCCTGACATGAATCACCTCTCCTTGCTTGACTTGGCATTTCTTGAAGACTGATCAGAAGGTCTTTCTTTGGACCGTAATGCAAGCTTTTGGACAGGGTTAGAAAGAAAGGGTATCAAAGGCTCAAAACAATTCAGCTAGGTTTAAAATTACAACTTCTGGAATTAGATTTCTTACAACAACTGCAACTTCCGCCCCGGTTTCTTGCTTGGGGACTTTTGGATTTTCTTATGATGGGACCGAACCGTGAGGCTGCCTACGTATCCTTAAAAGGAATCAGGTCGAACGTAGTTCATGTCATAGGAATTGCTCTGTTGTTGTGACTTTTCTTTTCTATTTTTTTTCTTTTCTTATTTGTTTTTCTTCTTTCTTCCTTTTCTCTTTTTGTTGTTGCTTCTTTCCTTTTCTTTTTTTTTTTCTTTTTTTTCTTTTCTTCTTTTTTTCTTTCCTCCTTCCTTTTTCCTTTTTCCTTCTCTCTCCTTTCATTCTTTTCTTTTCTCTTTCCTTTTACTTATCTTACACGCTTATGTTTCTGATCTTTACTAATGATTCCGAAATAGGGGTATGAAAGAAAATAAATAAGGCTTAAAGGGGTAACAAAGGATAAAGTGTTTAGGTAGCAGAACAAAATGCCTTCGTCATTCCATTCTTCAAAACATGCCAAGTACAAACAAGTACAATTAAAACAAAGAAGATCATACATAATATCTCTTGACTGCATCGGAATTGATGGCCATTTCAACACATTTTCCTTCTATGTCTGTTAAATACAAAGCACCATTGGACAACACTCTCGTCACGATGAACGGCCCCTGCCAATTTGGGGCGAACTTGCCTTTGGCCTCAGCCTGATGTGGAAGAATACGTCTCAACACTTGCTGACCCACTTCGAACTTCCGTGGACGCGCCTTCTTATTATATGCTCTTGCCATTCTCTGTTGATACAATTGACCATGACACACTGCTGCCAATCTTTTCTCATCGATCAAACTCAATTGCTCCAAGCGGGTTTTGACCCATTCGTCATCATCAATTTCAGCTTCTGCGATGATCCGAAGGTATGGGATTTCAACTTTTCAGAATTAGCTTGGCTTTTGAAACTGGGCTGAAGATTCCTCATGCATGTCATGTCACTGAAACCAGCATACAAAGGACTGTACAAGAAAGAAAAGAAAAACAAAAATAAAACTATTAGGAATGATGAAAAAGGGAATTGCATTTCATTGAAATAAAAAGATAACGAGGTTTATACATCCAAACGGACGGAACATAGAATCTGACTTACAACCCTGGACTAATCCTGATAAACTGAAAGAAAATCAAAGCAAACTACCAAAACTCCTTCCGGGTAGGGAAAAGAGTAGCTTCCCAATTGTTAATCTTTGTACTTGGCCCGACAAAAATGCACCTCTCCATCTTCATCAAACAGACTTTGGACCCTCTCAAATCAACTCCTCATCAAAAACAACCACAGGCTTTGGAACTGCTAACACCGGATGCTTCACTGCCCTTGACTTGACAAACGTCCTGAAGAGGTGTGGGATGGGCCTGGAGAGCGGCCATGCTTTCTTTTCCAACTTTGTAGCCTTCTTCACATCATTCCCTGTAGGCATGAACCCCAGACCAAATGTACCCGGATTTTTACGTAGAGATACTAGCTGCACGATACCTTGCAAAGATGCGCCCAGACCTTTACCCGGCACAAAACCATACTTCAACATCTCATTAGCTACCATGCAGATCGAAGGTGATAGCCTCGGCCTTGGAATGCCTTTTCCTTCAGGAATCTTTTCGACAGAAATCATTTCGGAAGTTTGATAAGCTAAAGGTCCTTGATTATCTCCAGCCTTAATAAATGGAACAGATGAATCTTTATGAAAGGATAAATCCTCTTCCCCACGCACAAATATCTCTTGTTTGTCCCACTCAAATTTCACCATTTGATGTAACGACGATGGCACTGCCTTAGCCGCATGTATCAGGGCCTACCCAATAACAAATTATACGGGGCAACCACGTCTAGCACTTGAAATTCCACACTGAAACCAACTGGACCTATCACCAATTCAAGCGTTATATCTCCAACAGAACCTTTTCCTTTCCCATCAAGACCTCGAACACCTACACTATTCATGTGGATTCTTTCGGGGTCGATCTTCAACTTTTGCAAAGTGGACAGAGGGAAAATATTTACACAAGATCCATTATCCACCAACACTCTGGTGACAAAATAATTTTCGCACTTCACTGTGACACAAAGAGCTCGATTGTGTTCCATACCCTCTATAGGAAGCTCATCATCCGCAAACGTGGTCCTATTTGCTTCGAAGATCCTGCTAGCAATCTTTTCTAATTGAGTCACTGTGATTTCATTAGGAACATGTGCCTCGTTCAGAATCTTCATTATGGCCCCGCAGTGTTCATCTGAATGTGTCAACAAAGATAACAGAGAAATATTAGCGGGAGTTTTCCTTAATTGTTCGATAATAGAATAGTCTTGCACTTTCATCTTTCTCAAGAACTCTTCAGCCTCCTCCTCGGTTACTGATTTCCTTACTGGCATTTGGCTACCCTTGAAGAGCTTGGCCTTCCATAGTTCTTTGGAGGTAAGACATCCTCTGAAATGAGTCGATCCTCCGATCTCAACAAATTCTTCCTCCACTTCCTTTCCTTTGTGTGCCATTAATGCTCGTTTGCAGTTCCTCGGGACATCCTTTGTCTCAACCGCTGGCAACTGAGTCATCGACTTAATAGCAACAGGGGTAATGGGAGACCCTTTCACAACTACAACAGGCTTGCTTGGCACCCCTAGTACCACCAACTTTGGCTTTTTCCGACTTGCCCTGACATCATTCGAAGACCCTTTTGCAAACATCACACGTTTTCTAGATACTTCATCTTGCTCCACAATCTTAGCGGGTTTTTCAATTTCAACGGGAGGCCCGAAATGAGGAGTGCAACAGTATGGATCCGAGGTCTTGAAAGTTGGTGTTGTACCATAGTACTGGGCATCAGGAACCTTGAACAAGGTTTCACTAGAAGATAGAGAGGTGTTGGCATGGGGAGGAGCTACAAAAGCGGGAGTAGTTAATGACACGCTTGTATTGGCGGGTGGAGCGTGAAAAGGCTGGGACAAGATGCCAGGGTAGTTGTGGCAAGGGGTAAAGCCTGGGGTATGTTGTGGGGAGAAATTAGCAGCATTGGGAATTTGGGATTGTGGTGGTGGTGGGACGGAAGCAAGATCTCCGATGTAGTTGGTGGGGAATGAGGGTAGAAGGCGCCCACTAATCCAAGTCTGGTACATCTCCGTTATCTGGCGTTTCAACCTTTGGGCCTCTTTTTTCAACTCAAATTCTGATTCGACAACACCTATGTCCGATCCCTCACTAGTCATGGTTGTCTTGCTGTTTGACCTAGTGTGCATGGATGACTTGCTCGAATGCCACAAACTAACCACCTACCTGGACTTAATATAACAAAATAAATCCATCACGTTAGCGTTAGGGCATTTAACATAAGATAATCTCACTTTGTGTGCAATGCATCTAGCCACAGTTATCGGTTCTAAAATGACTTCGAGGGTACAAAGGTCAGTTGGCATCATCCCCATTTCAACCTCTCTTTTCTTTGCTTTTCTAGCACTTGCTTGCTCATTTTTCCTTCCTCTTTTCCCTTCCAATTATAACTCTTTTCTTTCCTCTCATATCTCACATCCACAGTTCTTCCTCTCTTTTTCTTTTTCTTTTTTCATTTTTTTCCATAATAAAAAAAGTAATTTGATCGAACCCTATGTAGGTTGCCTACGTATCATGACCCCGCATGAATCAGATCTTTACGTAGTTCTGGAAGATCCGGAATAAAGTAAGCAAACTGACATTTTCTCTTTTTTCGTTTTTTTTTTTACCTTGATTACTACTCTGATGAGAAAAGAGAAATAAAAGATGCGAAACCCCTTTTTTTTTTGAATTTTCTACACTTAATGTTCTATAACCTATTCTAAACTCAAACTTAACGAGCATATACTTTTCTCTTTTTTTTGAAACAAACACTCTATGGAAATTTATTAAGGAAAAAAATCCCACGAGAGAAAAATATTTTTTGATTTTTTTTTTCTGAAATGAAGTCCAAACAATAAACCAAAGAAAAACATTTCGAATTTTCACAAGATTTCGAAACAAGTAATGAAAAAGATAAAATAAAATGTTTTTGGATTTCAATTTTGATTGTCTAAAGAAGAAATTCTAATGATAAACAAAAATAAAGTATATTTTTTCTCTCTCTATGTACATCTCGAAGACTGGTCGGAAGGTCTTTCTTTGGACCGTAATATGAGCTTTTGGATAGCGTTAGAAAGAAAGGGTATCACGAAGGCTCAAAACAACTTGAATGAGTTCAAACTTACAACTTTTGGAATCAGATCTTTTACATAACCATAACTTCTTCCCCAGTTTCTTTGCCTGGGGGCTTTTGGATTTTTATTTTGATGGGACCGAATGGTGAGGCTGCCTACGTATCGTTAAAAGGAATCAGGTCGAACGTATTTCATGACATAGAAATTACTTTGTTGTTGTGATTTTTCTTTTCCACAAAACTCTTCACTTTCACCCAAAAACTCATTAAAAACAAAATCATAATTTAAATTAAATCAATTCACATCCTTTTCCTTTTGCATTTTTCAGTTCGTGATTTCAAAATTCTCGTAGAATCCGTACAGATCTCTTCTCAGTTAATTTTAACTTCTCTTATCTACTTATTATATGTTCTGCATTTGAATTTTGTTCATTTAATTGCTTGCAATTGGTTGTAGTAATGAGTTTTGGCTGTTTTCTGGTGAAATTTAGTTTGATCATACGGAGATCTGATCGGATTTGCTGAATTATTTATTTATTTATTATGTTGCTTGCAATTCAAGGGTTTTTAGAGAGTTCTTTGCTAATACCATAAAATAATGGAACTGGAATTGGAATTTGAATTGTATTCGAATTTACTGTTGGAATTTTTTTTACTGTTGGATTTTTAACTTCCGGAAAAGCGATCTGGTTCAATTGTTTGGTAATATTTGGCGAGAAGTATTTATTACTTGGATTTTCGAGAATTCCTCTAGTTCTGCACTTGCTCCTTATTAAACTTTAAATTGCAAAATTCTGCATTAAAAATGTTATTTTAGTTATATAACCCTTTTTCATATGAGATCCGGTAAAAGATAACAGATGAGATTTTTAAATTAAACACAAGAGATCTTTGTAGGGTCATTCCCTTTTATTCAAATTGTAAGTGGGCATAAAAGATCATTCATGAGCAAAATTATGCATCAAAGTTTGAGAAACTGGAAAAGAATTGAAGTATCCTTTTCTGTATTATCGCTGATTGGAAGTTCGAGTTGTGGAGCTGGATCCATTTCATGAATGTTTTTGTCAAAATTATTATCGGGTTTCCTGTTTTCTGCATCGAGCATTTTAACATGTGCAGTGTGATACATGAGCAGATGTAGGCTTTAAGATATGGGTTCAACAGGATCCAATAGTTTTGGCCCAAACCCTATATATATGTTAAGAAATACACTGAATATGTACAAAAATTAAATTCAGAATCCAATTACTAGCACTTGAGGTTGCTGTCCTAAATCCAGAATCCATAAAGTTCAAATACTGGATCTGCCTCTGGTGTGAATGTGGAAAGATCTCACTTTCTGTGTACACTGGTTTACACGATATTGATCTAGGCATATAGAATTCTAGGTATTTTGCTATTAACTGATGTGTTTACTTCTTCTACCTGTGAATACTAGTAAATCCAAGATACTTGAAACTGGACTAGTTTTGTAACAACTTTAACACTGATCACCATCATCTCTAGGATGATGATTTATTATTTCAGTATTCCAAATTGTCAACTCCAAACATCTTGAGGGGATTAATGTATAATTATATTTTCTTCCTGATTGTCCTGCCTCTTGAAGGTGGGAAATCATACAACGTCACCCAGAATTAAGTCAAGTAGCATCATTATATTATTGCAGTGCCTTTGCCTAGCTAGTAGTCGCCAGATGTCCTTAATTTTCTGATTTTGGAATGCTGTATATTTGCCTTTTGCTTATGCTATATGATATGATTGATAACCTGCTTTTTTTACTTCTGTAGATTGAAGTGATATTGGTGTCACTGGCTCATTGTACATGATCATCACTTATTGGCATGCTACCTGAGGTATGTCGTCGAAGAAGAGGCTGAACTATGGTTTCAGTGGCTATCAATTTCCTGTTATACCAAAAGCTCCTAGATCAGTTAGAGTAAGTAAGCTGAAATTGTTAATTTATGCATTCTCTTACAAGTTTTCTTCTATTTTTCATTTTAATTTTAATTTTTTCGTTTCTTGTATATGTTTCTCTAAATATCTCTGTAATCACAATTTCTTTCAGAGGAGACACTCGCATAATAATTTGGACAATAATCAAATTTGTGCATTTGAATTATTGGCGGCTGTTGCTGGCGAACTTTTACAAGAGAGCGAAAGCTCTGCTTGTAGTAATGCGGCGGAAGGAAAAGATGAGCTTGCTGATTGCAGGGTCGGTGTTAAATGTGAGCAACTTAAAGAAGATAAAGCTGTGAAATCGGAGTGCTTCAGCCAGGGGAGTTGTGTAGAAAGCACTTATATACCAGAACCTGCAGCGCTAGAGCAGAATCTCAAGCATAGTTTGGATAAGCCTAATCATGTAGAAAATAATATTTTCCACAAACACAATTGTAGTATTATGAATGCTGATTTTTCACAAAAAGACTGGTCTTGCGCAAAGTTGGAAAACTGCAAGAAGGTCGATAGGGGTGGAATGTTCCACTCTGAAGTAGAAGGCAGATCCTCTAATCTCGAGAATGCATGTAATAAGAAAATTGAGACAGTTACTCAAAAACAGTTAGATGATGACAGAAAGCAAACTGATGACTTAACTGTGGCTAACTCTTGCAGTGTGAAGGGTCCAATTGTGGAACATGTGAATAATAATGCCACAATTAACTCAGACAACAGTGTACAGTTTCCCTTGTACAGGGCGGTTCCTAAGCCTTCTTTTGGAAAGCAAAGGAACAATGTAAAGTTAGGTATTAGAGATGATGACGAAAATTCTTTTCGGTCTTATAGCCACAGCAGTAAGATAAGGGCCTTCAGGAAAACATCACGTATTGGATACAGAAGAATAAAAAGGATTTTGACATCTAGACACTGGAAGATAGCTCCTCAGCTGAAGGACTGCGAACGGTCATGCTTCAGTAAGTAGAGTTACACCTCTGAAAATTTAGTGGGCTTAAGCTTTTGATTTACTAAATTTCTATCTGCTTGTTATGTCATCTTCTAACTACATGGTTTTGGTGTTTTAGATAATAGAGTGAAGTCCTTTTATCAAAACAGGAAAAGAATATGTGCACTGGAAAGATGCCGAGTTGAAATTCCTTCAAAGAGAAGGAAAATGTCTCACTATAACTCTGATGTTGCTTATGACCAGCAGGCCAGTAGTGAAAGAAAATCAAACTCACCTGAAAAGGGAATCAAGAGAGATATTATCCCGCATAGAGGTCAATAATCTACTATCATCCTTTCCATGTAAGGTTCGTAGTTATGAAGAGCTACTGAGTACTGAGTGATCTCTCTTTTACAGGATCAGGGGCTTCAGCTTCAGCTAAAAATCATCAAAAAAAGGATCCTTGTGGTAAGACTCTTCAACATTTTTTATTTGGATTGGGCATTATTTCCCGAGTAGTTTTTGACGTGTGTTTAATTTATTTTTTCAGTAAAATTTAGCATCAAGTCCTTCAACATTCCTGAGCTTTTCATCGAGGTCCCTGAAACTGAAACTGTTGGTTCGCTGAAGGTATGCAGGGTCACATCTTGTTGGGTCATTGATCAAGATTACTTAACCTTGTGCATCTGAGGAATTCTACCAATATATCGATAAATTTGAATTGCTTTTTCTTGTATGTTCACGAGGATCCCCTGACATTCTAGCTCGCTGGAGGGAAATGAGATGATCAATCATGCATTAATAGATTGTCGATGAATTCATCTTTGAGAGTATTAATTAGCCTTTCTCAGCTCACTTCACTTGTTACTAAATATAGTAATCATTAAATCTTAACTATACTTATGTAATCTTTTCTCTTTTTTTCCTTTTCTTTTTGTTGTTTTTCTTTTTCTGTTCTTCTCTTTTGCTTCTTTTTTTTTCCTTTTTCATTCTTTTCTTTTCTCTCTTTTTCCTTTACTTATCTTTGACGCTTGTGTTTCTGATCTCTGCTACTGATTCCGAAAGAGGCATATGAAAGGAAATAAATATGGCTCAAAGGGGGTAACAAAGGATAAAGTGTTTAGATAGAAGAACAAAATGCCTTCGTCATTCCAATCTTCAAAATATGCCAAGTACAAACAAATACAATTTAACCAAAGAAAATCATACATAGTATCTCTTGACTGCATCGGAATTGATGGTCATCTCTACACACTTGCCTTCTATATCTGTTAACTACAAAGAACCATTGGACAACACCCTCACTTTCGTTACCACGAACGGCCCCAGTCAATTTGGGCAAACTTGCCTTTAGCTTCAACCCGATACGGCATGATGCATTTCAATAGGGTTTCTCTATGTTCTATCTGCCCCAGTTTCACACAATTCGGGCTTGAAGTGATCTCAAAATGCCTTCACTTATTTCCCTCAAATGTCCTTACATCTTCAACATTGTTTCATTGCTTCATGACTAAACTGACTTTTAAAACCATACTGAGAATTATGCGTGCATGTCATGTCACTAGAATCAGCATGAAAAGAACTATAAAAGGAGAAGAGAACTAAACAAAAATGACTAGAAATGGCAGAAAACAAAAAATTGCATTAGACAGACAGTGAAAGGGTTTAAACAACAAAACAAGCAACATAAACTGGGGTACAACCCTAAAACAAACCTAGATAACACTAAATGAGATACTACGACAAAAGGAACTAGACAAAATAAAAGGATAGAAGGGTTTGAGTTGCAAGACAATATCCGGATTACAACCCTGAAATAACCCGGACAACAGAAATGACAACAAACTAAGCTACCAAAGCTCCTCTCCGACTAACCAAGCAATGGAGCGTCTTTCCAATTGCCAAGCACGGTGTCTTAGCCACTGAATTATGCATCAACAATACTAAGAACTTCATAAGTCTTCATCACATTGTTCTTAACGAATTGCTTTTGGGTTCCCTTTTCCTGCTCGTTCTTAGGATCAACCTTTGATAGCGCTGAAAGCTTCGCAGCACGTGGACCTCCGAGGACCTCAGAAAAATTCTCATATTCCTTTTCAAAAAAAATCATACCCACCATATATATCTCATTATGCACAGGCGATAGACTTTGGCTGGTGTCTGCTGCATCTGGATTTTGCACGACAATGTCGCCTGCATCAATAAGCTTCTGAATCGCCTTCTTCAGATTCCAACACTTCTCTATGTCATGCCCCGGGACATTTGAGCAATATGCGCACCTTTGAGAAAAATCAAACTTCTTTGGAAGAGGGTTCGGCATTTTTATCTGGGTCGGCTTCAACATGTCCAATTTCCTTAGCCTCTGGAACAGACTGGCATATGACTCTCCCAATGGAGTGTAAGTTTTCTTCTTCCGTAACCTCTCGTTCTTCAAGGATTGATTGGGCCGGAATCCCGATCCAGGGGTTTTCAGTAGGCTCGTGGGGGTGGGTAAGACATTTGTGGACGTGGTGCGGGCCATTGCGGGCCTCGTGGATGTAGAGCATATGGTGGTGCATTGTGGATAGGGTATCAGGAAACTGATGTACGATTTTGGGGGTTCTGTTGAGAGAAGTAGCAGTGAGGAGGATGATAAGGATATCCGCGGGGTCAATATTGAGGCTGAAAGCATTTAGCAAGGATGCCCACTGGATCCTGTCGTTGGCGGGGCTCAGCAACATCTTTTCTATCAATGTGAGGACTGTCCCGAGTAACTTGTTCGTTCCATCTGAGACAAAAGTCCCTAAAACTTTCCTTGGGTTTCTTTTCCATCTGAGATGGGGAGGAGCGGTCTGGGACAGTCTCTATATGTACTGAAAGTGTCGCACAAAATCTTGAGCCATGTCGCCCAATGTAGGCCACTTACCGACATCTTGACAATTATGCCATTCCAAAGCTGCCCTAGTCAAGCTCTTACTGAAATATGCCATCAACAAGTCATCTTTCTCTCCAAAACTTCTCATTTCACTGCAATAAACCCGCAGGTGGGCTACCGGATCTCCACACCCATTATATAAGTTAATTTTGGCACTTTAAACCCCGCGGTAGGCGAACGTCAGGGGACACAGACAATTCTTTGTAAGACATGTTACCCTGGCCTCCCATTCCTTGCTTGTTCTTTAAGGACTGTTCTATGCCTTTCAGCTTCTTGGATATCTCATCTCGCCCTTCCTTTCCTATGACTTTTTCATGTTCAGCATGAAGCTCATCCCGAGGGCTCTTCTTGTTTGAGTCAGGAACCTTGTGGGAAACCTCTGCAGGGTAGTATTGGACATCATGAGCTTTTGAGTGGATATTCATTGTTGGGAATAGTGGATATGACAGGAGGGCAATATTAGGGAGAGGTAATTGGAGGATGAGTGATGGAGCTACTAGGACGGTTGAGAAAGCTGTGATAAACGGGTGGATCTGGAGAGTATGGGGGATCACCCGGCACTATGACCGGATTTTGGGTAAGGGTAGAATCTAAGAAGCTAGGTGGTAGTGGGGGTGGTGCCTTCCCAGTCATCCAGGCCTGATACATGTCCATCATGTGTTGTCTTAACCTCCTTACCTCATCAGCCAAACCAGTGTCCTGTTCAACCAACTGCTTTCAGGCACCGGTATCAACCGACCCAATTTTGTTGTTGTCCGCCATTGCCTTTTGACCTTATGTTATGGAGAGGAGTTACTATTTCGAGAACCACAAACCAACCACCTTTCTGCTATGAAGATATCAAAAGGAACAAAATGGGGTCATCCCGTTAGCGTTAGGGCATTTAACATGCACCTAGCAACAATTAATGGTTCTAGAATGACTTCGAGGGTCGTAAGGTCACTTGGCATCATCCCAATTTGTTCATTTCAATCCTCTCTTTTCTCAACTTTTTGCTCGATCATTTTCCTTCCTTTTTTTTTCAATTATCACTCTTTTCTTTCCTCTCATTTCTCACGTCCCATAATTTCACCCTTTTTTTTTCTTTTTTTTCCCGTTTCTTTTAAACTATGGGACTCTTTTCTTTCCTCTCACATTACTTGCAATTATAACTAATCCAGCCGGCTGTAAGCCAAGGCTGGCTATTTGCACCATCTCTCCTCTATACTCTGTATTCTCTCCTTGAATGGTATGTCCTGATTCAATTCACATTCCAAAACTATGTGTTTTCTTTGTTGTTGTGGTTCATTAGTTGTGATTTCTAGTTCTATCTGCTATTCTACTGTCATATGCTCAAGGTGTAACCAGCATGCTTAGATTACACTGCCTAATTATTGTATCACTCGGCATGCTTAAGTTTGTTGTGTTAAAAGCAATAACAAATATATCGTTTAGCATGCCCAATCCTGCTTTAGATAATTGTACGAATCCTATTTGTTCACTAGTATGTCCAAGATGCATTGTTTGTTTACTGTCTCACCCAACATGTCTAAATTCTGATTGTTCTTTATGTGATTAGTATTTCTAAAACTTTGAATGCTTCATGAAGTGCTTGTCTAGTTTGTTCATCTAAGTCTTACCTACTCTACTTCACTAATGAGATCTTGTTAAAACATCTAGCCCTTTCAAAGGTACTCTAGTTGTGTGTATTGGTCATGTCTAAGACCTATGTGTTCTCAACATATCTTTGCCGCAATATTTGTAACTAACTTGTCAATTCCGCAACTTCTTGAGGAATATGTGTATTTGTTTACCATCACTAAGGTGCATTCTATGTGTCCCCTACCCCTTTCTCCGTGCGTGAAGTCTGTTTGCCAAAGTGTTTTCTGAAGCTGTTTCGGTAATGGTATTCCGATTTCAAGATGTTCTTTTTCATTCTTTTCCAACTATTGTTTTACTCAAACTAGTACTGGTTTTCAAAAAGTCTTCTCACTCCTAAGACCCTTCTCTATATTGTTAAAATTATGCACTCCCGCTTACTCTTAGTTCATTAGGTCCTACCCCTCTGGTATGTGTACTGCCTACAGACCCTTGAGGTCTCTCTCAACTATGGCATATCAGGGCTGGCACTTCCACACTGCACATAAATTAGTTCTTACTTGAGAAAGGTCTGGGTGTGAGCACTGCCCGGGATCCTTGAGGTCCTTAGGGAACTCTGACACACCTAGACATGAAATTGGCTATGAAAATTAGGGCACTTGAGACTACTGAAGGCTTGGAAGCTACTTTGGGCCTACTTCAGGTTCCCTATAGTTTAATGTATATTTATATTTATGTAATTTATTCATTTCTTGGTCTCTAATAATTAATTGTAAACAAATATTGGGGTGATTAGTGAAAAAGGGAGGGTAGTTGTATATTGTGGGTAAAGTGCGGTAGATAACATGCCTATTGGGTTTATTTTGATTTACATCTGCTGTGTTAGCCAATCTGCCTATAGGATTTCTTGGTTGAAATAAATTCTACCTGCTCCACTTCATATAATTAGATAACATGCCTATAGGGTTTATTTTGATTTACATGTGCTGTGTTAGCCAATCTGCCTATAGGATCTAAATTAGCATAATTAGAACATGTCTATAAGATCTAAATCGATTTTAATCATAGAAATCATGCCTATAGGATGTAAATCGGCTTTAATTAGATCTAAAATCAGTTTAACTCACACTGGTAGGTCTGAATCAGTTTAATTAACTAATCTATTCATTTCTTTAATAAGTTTTCAACGCTGCATTAATTAATATTACTAGAGAGCATGCCTATAGGATCTAAATTGCCCGTTTAAATTGTTTACTATTTTACTGCAATCCTGATCATTGATTAGGTACCATGCTCATAGGACATCGCTATTATACGCCTAGGAAAGCCTGTAAAATTCTGCAAACTATAAAACTACGCC